GGATCGCTCATTATGTGTCTTCCCACACTAGACCTATTGCAATATACTGTGAATAGACTGTTGTTCATAAATACATGATCTTGCCAGTGGGGATAAAATGAGAATCTCTTAAAGAAAACTACAGTATTTTAATTTTTCTTGGCTTTTTAATATGCTATCTATGGGTGGGTATGTAGGTATCTCTACACATAACAAGTTACTTTTAATCTAGGATTGCTTAGTATGTAAATCAAGAGGCTTGTAAAGCTGAAAATCATACTGAATTTTTAGTGAATGGAAGAACAGGGACTGATCTCAGCGTGGGCAAACAAAACCCACATACTCCTCATTCATGTGAAACCTGGGTGATTTGAGGGGGGAGTAGTTTTTCTTAAAATATCTCCGGAAAATTTTAATTCCAAACTTTTTAAAAAGATTCTACATTGTATCATACCGCTGATAGCTGCAGTCCAGTACATACTACTTATTTGTGTTAAATTGTTTTTCTTGCTGAAATAATTTGGTATAATTGAGCCAATTATTGTGTAATTTTGTTGGATTCTTACTATAAACACTTTTGTACCAAGTAGCCACCCAATATAACATTGTTTCTGGATTATTAATATTCATGAAAACAGGAAATAAACTATTGCTAAAACAGGCACCCTAAACCTTTTTTTAAAACAGTAACAAGCGTGGTTTAATGTAGCTACTGATATATAAGGTAATCTGTAACTTGAAAGTTGGATGTTTTAAAATATTAAATGGTTTATATCTAGCACAATTCTTAAGATTAAACTGCAAGTGTTCTGTGTGGCAAAAATAGGTATCACTTTCTGATTGAAGAATAATTTCTAAGACTTCAGATTTTTTTGTTAATGCTTTTTTTGCAAAAATATTTATTTGGAAGACAAAGGAAAACCATATTCCAAGCTCTTCCTGTAGTGTACCTCACTATTTCATCTAAATCCAGTCCTAGTCATGATTTTCCATTTGATGTATGAATTTTTTCATTCTAACTGGATTTTGAATGTATAATATGGTCTGCTGTAGGGGTTGCACATTAGTCTTGTGAACATTAAACAAGTGCTTGATTTCATTACCGTGGATGTGGAAAAGTTCAAGACTGTAAAGTTCGTACGTAAAGCCTTAAAGGATTAATTAAGTTCCTGCTGGCATTCACCATCCTTTTTGACTGCGAAGAATATCTGGCAGTTTTTGTGAGGTGTATTGGCAAATCAGTTCTCATTAGTATACTGTTGTACATCTTAAAAATGGCGTTAAAAAAAATCCCTGACCTGAAAAAAATTATAATACTTACATAAGGTGGTTCTTATCTGTGTTTTTCTTACATATGCTGAGGATCAGCTTTAACAGGAGGCATAAAGGCATCCTATTCCTCTTTCACTCAGATATGTTTTAATGTGTATATTTGAAAATTAATTGCCTTTTCCAGTTCCTTTGAAAACAGCAGCAGTGGGATTTGTGGTGCTGAATTTTGAATGTATAGAAATACATTCAGTGGAAATTATGTTTGATGTATTATTTGCCAAATTTCTATGCTCATATAGACAACTTTGAACTAAAAAAAGCTTAACAGATTCATTTTTTAGAATCATAGAATCATTAAGGTTGGAAAAGACCTCTGAGATCATCGAGTCCAACCGTCAACCCAACACCACCATGCCCACTAAACCATGTCCCTAAGCGCCTCATCTACATGTCTTTTAAATACCTCCAGGGATGGTGACTCCACCACTTCCCTGGGCAGCCTGTTCCAAGGCCTGACCACTCTTTCAGTAAAGAAGTTTTTCCTAATGTCCAGTCTAAACCTCCCTTGGCGCAACTTGAGGCCATTTCCTCTCATCCTATCACTTGTTACTTGGCAGAAGAGACCAACCCCCACCTCGCTACAACCTCCTTTCAGGTAGTTGTAGAGCGCGATGAGGTCTCCCCTCAGCCTCCTCTTTTTCTTTATAGGACTTCCAGTTTTTTATGGTGGCGCTTGAAATTATAAATCCTATGCTTTATTTATGTGAATAAATATTTTGGCTAATGATAATAGAATTTGTAAGTTAGTACTGCACACTTTTTTAAAAAAAAAAGTGTATGTGCTTGCATAGAATAAATGTTACCAAAAAAACCAGTCAGGATGAAGGTGTAATTACACACCCCAATTATGTGATATTCACTAGAAATAATTGGAGACTAAACTCTACTTAAAAGGTAGTTTATTCAATGGAGAAATGTTTATGGTTTTTAATTGAAAACTTTTTTTTTCCATTTTCCTTCCAGGTATTGCTTTGTTTTTGCTTTGGGATACCTCACTGTGTGCCAAATTACTAGAGTCTATATCTTTGATTATGGACAGTATTCTGCTGATTTTTCTGGGTAAGGAGAAAAATAATCTTTCCATCTTGTCCTCCTAAGTGATACTGTATCTGTTACTGGTTTTGTTTTTTTGCCAACCTTTTAAATTTTGGAGAAAGCTGGGTGTGTGCGCACACCACACACCACATGCACACACCCCACCACCACCCACACACCCCCCTATGCTTTAATCATGCAAACTGAGAATTTAGGGAACAGTTATGTCTGTTAGAACCACAAATGCATTATCTGCTTCCTCCTGTTCCTGTCTGAAGGGCATAAAGGCTTTGGTGGCTGTGGGATTTTTTTGCTTTTGCTTTTTCTCCTAAAATCTCTGTTATCACCCGTGTTGAAACTTGAATTGTATCTGATGTACTTGCATGCCTGGCACAGTCTGATACCACTTTGTGAGGAAAATCTGAATGCCTTATGGAATTTAGCTTTTAGCTTCTTTCTTTTTTGGTTTTATGTTAGAAGGAGAAAGCTAAGGAGAGAGGCATGTGTATGGTGGAGTAGTCACACAGCCCTTGGAAATAGAAAGTTTTGTCTATATGTGTTCTTATTTTATATAATGAACTTAAACCTATATTTGACTTGAGCTGTATGGGAGCAAAACAGAGTTAAATAGGCAAAGTGAAAATAAACTATATTGGTGATGATTCTTTGTACTGGAGACAGAGAAGTGAAGCACAACATTTCCTCTGAGTAAGTTTGCTACTGTGATGGTGCTTTTTTTGATTTAAAGGAGAGTATGTATTTTGAAAAAAAGAGATGGGGAGTGTTTGCTAGTCTGCTTAAAAAAATGCATTAAATATTTTTTGGGAATACTATGAATGGCAGTGGTCTTTGTAGTTTAGTATTATCTGTGTTGTGTAGTAGAGTTGTGCTTGTTAGCCTTGTTGCTTCTCAGTCTTCATTGGTAACAGGCATGTAGTCCAGAAACTTAACTTGTAGGCTAAAGCCAAAAGCTTTTATCATTAAGTTCATCTTTTCTGTCATTTTTAGCTGGGTCTTACCTTCTGAAACATCCTTCTACATTTATGCCTCCATCCAAGTGTCTGCCTTCAAGCCAGATATCCAAGTTCCAACTGTAGTCAGTGGAGATCTGACCGATGTAGACAGTAGAGCCTGGAGGGCATTTCAGCTGACCTACCACTAAGTATCTACCTTAGTGGGAACTGGGTCACTTGACAGATGCCCCGACTCTATTGACTAGATCTCCACTGGCTATAATGAGAGCTTGCAACATAGACATATGCATAAAGACACTTTAAAACTAGGTTTACGGACTGTCGTGGTTTAACCCCAGCCAGCCACTGAGCACCACGCAGCCGCTCGCTCACCCCCCCCCAGGTGGGATGGGGGAGAGCGCAAACGCAGTCCCCCACTACCACAAATTATGCACATCATTGCTCAAATGCAACTGTACTGCTTTCAGAGTGTAGCTGTCTTTGTGGCTCTGTTGGTTTGGAGTTAGCTCAGAGATTTCTGCTAGGTCTGAACATGTCCAAAGATTTATGAGATCTGTGCTCTGGACAGAACTGTTCTGAAGCCTAGATTCAACTCTGATTGTATGTTTGAGCTGCCTGATTTAAACCATCCTTTTCAAGCACCAGTTTCGGAGCTTGATGTATGCATATCACATTAAATCTCTGGCATATACTGCATCTGCTCCCTTGCGGCCTGAGACAGAGGTTGCTTCCAAAACAGGAGGAGAAAGAAATGAACCAAAGGGGGCTATTTTCTGTCAATTTTCTCTAGTTCCAGGGGAGGAGAGCAAGCTTGAGAAAATAACAAAAATTGCCTAACCAGCTGTTGAACCCCAGCACCTGCAAGTTCTTCCAAAGATGTTGGCATGGATTCACATAGTGGTTAGCCCCAAAAGAGCTTTGAATGTCTGTTTACCTAGATATTTGTCCTAGCATGCTGTGCCCATCCGAGGTGTCCAAGCCCAGAGAATCTGCAAAAAGTTTGAAGGAAGGTATCGATGTACTGACAGTGGAGAAAGCTGAGGAGACCTTATGCTGGAGATGCAATTTCTTGTGCAGAGCTGTGTGGTCCTGGCTTCAGTACTAAAAGATCCCAGCTGCCAGTGAGCCTTCCACTGCCTCCTTTGCCTTTCTGCCAGCACCTAAAAGGGATAGTTAAAATCCTGGTTCACAGCCTCGCTGTTCCAGGAAGGACTCTTCCTCTTTTAATCTCTTGATTGTTGCTTCTCAGCCAAATCCCTGAAGATCCTGGAATAGCCACTTGAGAAGGAGAAAAAATAACAGGGCCTGCTATAATAACAATGACGGATCAGCTAGAATTAATGTAATGTCTGACTGAGCTCTTCCTGGACTCCATCCTTCTACCAGGCAGGATCCATGCTGTCACGTGTCCACTTACAGAAGGAAAACCCGTTACGTTCAGAATCAATTGGAGATTTATGCCAGCACGAGGCAGGTCTACAGCTTAAATGCTGGAAGAGAGATGAAGGATTTCCCAGACTGTCTGTTCTTGTTTAGTTTTCTTCCTTGCTGACCCTTGCCTGTCACTCTAGTCTTGATATCAGGATTTTGGGGCACTGATAATACAATAGAAAAAAGTTTTTCCCAGATTGCGTTTTGAGGACTAGAAATATTGTGTGCTTTGAAGTAACCATAACCTAAAAAAAATTAATTTGACAGACTGAGCCATCTGGCAAAATACTGACATAGCCCTGTCAATGAAGGAGGACTTAATGGCTCTTCGATTTGTTTTTCTGTGCCAACTTAAATATGTTATAAAAAGGCCAAGTGCAGTCAAAAGACTTCAGCAAAATTATATGCCCATCCTACAGTACGATTATTTTGTTGTGGGGTTTTTTTTGTCTCCAGCTCAGATTCTACTAGGTAAATACAGCCCCTGATATATTTTTGACATCTGATTTCGAAGTTAAATTTCTAAATTCTGGTAGCCTACTTTGTGCTTTGCCCCATCCCCTCCCTCCCCACAGGGGAGTTAGCAATGCTGGGATTTACATCAGTCAAAAACTCCTAGATACTACGAAGATGGTGTAATTTCTCAGTATAAAGCTGACTTGCTTAGTCAGGGAAGAATATCTCTTGGACAGTCTAAGATTTGCTCAAGTGTACCAAATTCAAAACAAACTAAACTCTGTTGGAGCCAGCATAATTATGCTGGTTTTTTGTTTTGCCAGATATGTTTACTTGAAGCAAATAATTATAGATGGAAAAATGAAGCATAGGACCAGGTGTTAGTAGAAACAGTGGAAGTAGTCTGCATATCTAAATAGATTACAAATGTTCAACTTTGGTATATTTTTATTGTCCTTTGCTTACTGCTCTTGTAATTTACAGTGCATATAATTGCTCTTACTGCCCTTTTTTCTTTACTCTTCCCACTGTAAAAAAATAAACTCTGTTAGTAGAAAATAAATGTGAAACACTTTGGCTGTTTTTGTGGAACCTAATGCGGCAATAAAAGGCGTAGGTTATCAAATACTATATTTAAGGATTAAATTCTTTTCATTTCATTTAATGAATGGTTTGAGCTCCCAAAACTAATCACTTTGTCCTTGCATTGAAAAATCTTTCAGTTGAGAGTAATTAACCTGGACTATTAGTATAAACTTTCTCTGATAATTACATGTGAAAGAAAATTCTAAACTTTATTCTAAATTATTCTGTCTTCCTTTTTTGTAACAGTCCAATGATGATAATTACACAGAAGATCACTAGTTTGGCATTTGAGATTCATGATGGTAAGTTTTCTTTAAACTGTGTTTAATTTTCCATACAAAATAAATTTAAAGAAAGTTAGTCATGAGTCAATAACTTACTTTTGTCCAGTTTGTGTTTTAGAACAAAATAAATTTTTGTGTCTCAATTGATTCTTTTGATGCTTACTAATGGAAGAAATGTTGCTCAGACACTACAAAAGCTCTGAAAATGCTTATATTGTGCAGAAGATACTACTTGTCAGAAGACCAATGACACTTCTGGGGCCAGTGACCAGACACCACTGACATTTTGTTGGGCTGGGGTATTGATCGTGAGAGTTAACTAAATAATTTCCAAATTCAGAGGTCACTGTTGCTGACAGAAGTACATGTAACTTCAGTCGTTGAGCACCTCTTGCTTTGAAATGCTAAGTGTTAATCTCCCCCTAATTTGTGAGTACTGATTTTTATAAAACCTTTGTATACATTTCACCTTGTTTATTATCGTAATTGCACTTGCTGCTAACATACCAGTGTGAACAGGGAGGTTATTTATGTTTCTGTCTTTTCTCCTGTCAGATTTATCAATTAGTTAAGTGGGCCCTAGCTGTGACAAAAATGAATCCTAATGTTGGCTTTCCTGGGTAGAGTATCTAGATTTTTATTTACCTTCAAATTCAAAGGAGTAGTTTTCATTTTAAAGTTTGAAAATGCCATCCAATAAACCTAGCCCATTAGCTTGAATCACTCGGAGCTACACCTATCAGTTGAAGATTTGGGAATGTAGCCCCAGACACCTGGATCAAACCACCTGTTTTTTTGAAATTTCTTTAGTGACATTATGTATGGAGTTTAATATGTTTTTGTCTCATGTGCATCCTAGCTTTAGTGCTGCTGTTGTTTCATTTTTTTCCATTCTCGTTAAGGTACACTATCTAGAGAAGCCTGTAGGCAACATTCATGAATATGAAAAGTCGGGAAAACACCTTTTTGTAAGAATTCTTGTATGAATGAAAATAAATAATGCTGGGCATATCTAGTTGGTCAAAGAAGTTGATATCTAACTTCCAGAGAAAATGTATTCAGAAGTATTAGTCTTGCAAGCTATAATCAATTAGAGTACAGAGTACATAAGTTAAAGGGAAACAGCTTATTATAAGGAAGTAATAATTCCAGTATCAAAGATAAATGCTTCCTGTTACTATTATTTTGCTAGGGGAAAGAGCTATTCTCGATTTGCTGACATGATGCACAAATAGTAGAGTTGTGGTATGGGACAAGCATGTGAGTCTTCCTGGTAATCTTGAAACAAATGTTTCATTTAGTCAGGTCTGTTCTTAACTTTCATCACAAACTAAACTAGATTTTTTTTTTCTACTTAAATTAATTCAGATAACTTGTATTTTCCTCAAAAGCCCAGCTTATTTTCTGTCTGAATTTCTGGTAGATATAATTGAATTCTGAGTATCAGTCTTGAAATTTTGTTCCGTGTTGACCTCATATCAGAGATCCTCTAGAGTCTTTGTCAGTTGGTGGGGCGTAGCTGATAATATATTGGAAAATTTTCTCTCTGGTTGCATTTGCAGTTCAGCAGAGTCCTTGACTTGAGCTGAATGATCACCACTGAAGGGATACTGTCACTGCTTAACTCTGTGTCTTGCAATGAGTTCATATGGTGTTCTACCTTTTTTGCTTATAACCTACTCATCCCCACAGAGCCTCACTCATTTCACTGCAATTCTGTATGAGATCAGGGATCTTTACAGGAAAGACCCATATCCAAATCTAACCTCTCTATCTGTATGTGCTTTGGCAGCTTGTTTTTAATTCTAGTGCTTAATGAATCTTAAACAAAGAGTCTCTTCGAATGTTTATATTCATAACCCATTGAAGTTCTGGAGCTCACAATATATTTATTTTTAAATCTCCAAGAGATTCAGCCAGCAAAACTGGGGAATGTTAGACTTGATATTTGATATTTAAAAGGAAAAAAAAACAATTCTCACAGCTTCTTCCAACCTTGTTCTTGTTCTTCTCTCTAATTTAAACTCAATAATACATAAAACTTAAAAGAAAAAGAAAAGGTCATTTTTAAAATATAATATCTATCTACTAAACTGAAATCTAATTCTTCCAAATTATTTCTTCATATTATTATGTTGCACTTGTCCATAAAAATGTGTGGGTAGATACAGGTAAGAATCCAGAACCAAAATACTCTTCGTCTGTTCTGTCAGCTGCTTCTTGGTTCCCAGAGGCTTATCTCACATGCTTTCTGACCACAAAAAAATAAACTCTTTGTTCCTGTGTGTACCCTTCTCCCATCCCTTATGCCTTGGGTTTCAGCTCTCTAGTAGCTAATTTTTAAATGTGCTTTTCCTGGAATGTTGCTTGTTGTTTTTTTTTTCTTCTAATTAATATTTCCTCCTGTGTATCTGGTGCTCTCCATTTTTAAAAGCAATAGAGTAGACATTGATGTTGATCTGGTAAGGCACTGCATTTACTGTGAGAACAAAAAGGAGATAAAGAGTACAGTGAATATGCAACTCGAAGGATTTTTAAATCTTTTTTTTTTTTTTTTACCTCTGCCTTTTAGTTTGAATGATATACTGGCGAAATATAGTTAAAGGCTAGTCTTACACCAGTATTTTAGGTCTCATTTACTTTGCTCCAGCAGGCTATTAGGACAATGGCTGGATTATTTTATGCTGTTTTTCCTCATATTGCTATTGTACTATTACAAAGTTGTAAGATTTCCAAGTAGGCTATTAGACCCTATTTCCCACTGCAGAAGAATGAAAGTATAGTCTCTGTCCAGTATGGCCCCTGAGAGGAGAGATATTTCAATGGATAGATGAAACATATGGAAAATGGGAAGGAGATGAGGAAGAAGAAACAAAGGTGATGTTGGAGAAACTTATGCGCAAACGCTGTATTGGTTGCCGTGGTCTTAATTATCTGTTGCTACCTGCCTCATCAGGTCATGGTACTACACCATACACTTGGGAGTTTTTTCAGACAATGCGCTGCCTTTTTTTTTTAATTAGAAAGTAAATTTCTTGTTGGCTTGCAGCTAATGAGCAGTCCCATCCAAACTGCAGTACCTGCTATTATGTTAGTAGTAATGGTTTTGTTAGCTGTTCTTGAACAATGTAATAGCATCAGAAGTACTGAAGAATGTTTCTTGATTTAGTTGATAAAAACATTTCTTCTTTATTTTCAGTTAACTAGATTCTTTGCCTTTTATTTTCCTCAAAGGCAAATAATTCCCATATTCAGCAGAAAGACACTACATCTTTCTAAAGTCTTGCAGACAACTTTAGTGTTGCTCTGCTCTGGCTTAAAGGGTGGAAATGTGGATGTACTGAAGTGTTGAACAGCTTATGTATTTCTGTACATTAGATGAGATATTTCAAATTTATTTTAAATAAACACCTACAAAACCAGAAGAGGATTACCAGGCTGAATTGCTGATTGTCACAATGTGATCCCATGGTAAAAGGGAACATACCATGTTTCAGCCAACTTACTTTTGCAATTAAGTGGGGTTTTTCTTTGTAGTGAGAGGCGGTCAGTTAAGAATGTTGTTATGTTTATGAAAATAAAGGTCTCATAAACTACCAGTGTGCTTTTCTGATTTCAAATAGGTCTTTTATTATTATTATTATTGTGTCTTTTTAAAAGTGTATTTGGATGGTTGCTTTTGTGAAAGTATAAGCAAGAGAAAATTGAACAACTCTTGAGACAGAGAAATTCGTACCTGTGTGTGTAGAACTAAATACTCCTAAGGTTTTTTGATAGGTCATCATGACCTAGTTCCACTTTATAAATGCTGGTATTACAGCAAAAAAGTTGCAGCTGTTTAACCAAGAATGTTGTTTTCTAATTCGTCTGTTAATTACGTCAGTGAAACTGCCATGGCATGGTGGTGTGTGGGTGTGTATTTATTTATGGTTTTTGGTAACCTGATACTTTCTTCTTATGTCTAGGAGTTTCTTTTAATGCTCTCCCAATTTTCTCTTGATCTATTTTTTTTTAAAGTGCTCCCTCTTGTGTTAGTGACAGCATTGGTCATTATTGTTTCAGTATCAGTTACCAAATCACCTTGATTACAGTACATGTCATTAGTGTTTAAAGGAATTATATTGTATTTGTCCCTCCTAAGTCTTCAAGTGTTGTTCTGGGCCTACGTTTGCTTGCACGGCTCTCTGGCTATCAAGACTTCTGATTTTTCTTGCTTTTTGTAGTTTCTTTGCGATTTTACTCAGCTGGCATCTGTGTCTGTTTGCTTTTGTTGCTGCCAATGTGCTACTAACAACTAAAACTGTTGTTGTCTGTCTTAAAATATTTTAATGACAGCATGCATTTGGGCTCAGCTAGTGATCCATTTCAGAACCTCAGATTAAAATTTACTGTAATTACAACAGAGCCTGCAATATGATCTCTGTGTTTAATGTTATTAATGTAATATAATCTTATGTCTAAGCATTATTAATGAGTTATTGATTAGCCAGATTTCATGCAAATACAAACGTGGATATATTCAAGCACATTAACTGCAAAGCTGTGGTGGTGCTATGATATGATTGTAAACATTGTATTATTGTAGTGAGGGCATGGTAGTGGTCATAATATGTCTTAATAAAACCTATATGGCAGGATATTGGTGTGTACCTAAAGATGTTGATTTTGTTACCATTAGGGTGTGGTCTCCTGAGGAGGAATGAAAAGATGCAACTTCCTCATGATCTAGACCACTGTGGATAAATTTTGTTACTGATGATATACAAAATTCTTTTAAAAATTCTTTTACCAAGGAAGGAACGTAGGAGTATTTCCTACTTTACAGATGAGAAGACTGAGTTACAGATGTCGAGTGACCAAATAATTTCACCTCTCTAACAGATGTTCGGTAAAAACCATTTTCTCTAATCCCCACTGTGTGATTTGGTAGCAACTAAAAGCTGCAGCCATTGCAGTAGTCTCCTGCTTTAGGACAGGAGAAAACAATTCTCATAATCCTCAGAGAAAGGTTACAAAACTTCATGAGTTCCCTAGCAGCGGTGTGCTGCTGAAGTCAGGTTTCTTCATCTCCATGTGTAGCAGGTGGGGAACTGCTATGATTTATGAGGCCTCTGTTCCCATGGGCAAATACACTGCCTGGGAAGTATTGAATATATATATATATTAATTCATCTCATATTGGATAAGCATCAATGTAAGAGCATCTTTTCCATATGTATTGTCTATAAATTAAAAAATGTTAACAGTAGCTTCCTGAAAGCTTTCAAGAGTACGACAGCAGCAGAGATCAATGGTTTCCTTGTTCTTGCATGCTACGCAAAGATGATAAATGGGCCTTCAAGGCACTGAGAAGACATTTAAAAAACAAAAAAATATAGGGAAAGCCACTGAACTGACCTCAAAGAAGCTGCTGGCTGGAGGGGAATCTTAGTGAGATAGGAAAACAAAAAATTAAGGGAGGCTTACTTGTATGCAGTATGTTTGAGACAGCAAGTGTGTTGCTCACCAGGTTATTTAGGCCTCAAGTGACTTCTCATGTATGTATGTATGTATGTATATAACTTGTTCCTGTTTTAAATATGCCAATTCTTTCTTCCTCACCCCTCCGAAAGAATAGGTCATATTTCAGTGGTTAGATTCTTCTCTTTCAGGTTTGAGGTTTTTTCCTTCTTTTTCATACAAAAATCTTGTGAAATCATGTGAAATCTTTCGTTTGACTAATTACCTTTGTTTAGTGGTTAGTCTGGCTTTATGCAAGTTCACTTGGACACTCTTGGTGACTGCTTCCTCTTTCTGACTTAAGGGTAAAATACTCATATGGAATATAACAGCGAAGGAGGCTCTTGCTCCGGTCAGTTTGCATTGTACATGCTGTGGGAGACTGAAGGCTCTGTACGGGCTACTTCCCTATACTAGTTATGTCATGTGATCTACATATATCTATAGGAGTCTTTGTGTTAAATTTCTGTTTAAGTTTGTGTTAAATTCAAAGATTCACTACCTGAGAACTGTAATTTTATGGCCTTAAAGGTTAAAGGACCTTTCAAAATGTTTCTACCGCATTTTTTATTCAGTACAGTTATCAGTGTAGAAATCTTTGCCGTATCACCAAGGAGATGTGAAAATGTAATGATGGGGAAGAGAAAGTGCCTGCATGAAGTTAGGGGTGATGCTTTGTTCTTCAATTTCTTGCCTTGCTTGGATATGAATGGGGGTGACTTTCCACTGTGAAGAATCAGGACTGAGGAAGGTATTTTTCCAGGTCATATTGGAAGAGAGGAGATGACAAGTTGCTAACCCTTCTGTATTCTCAGCTTTGCTGAAGACTAAAAGTGCAGTTTTAAAGTTGTGAGTGTGTATAGGTCACACAAAGACAAGAGTTATCTTCTCTTTAGATAAGTTTTCCATGAGTCATAGAATTAAACGAGGTTTGACTTACCCCCTACCCCCCAATCTTTTTTTGTCTTAAGAATGACTGATTTTGATATCTAAAAAAAAAAATTGGCTCCAGTTAAAACTTTCCTTCTGCTTGGATCAAATATAAGGGCTCCCCTCTGTGGGTTTACTGGTATCAAGGGATGGAGTTGAAGGCAACCTTTCTGTGAGTGGAGGAGGATCTTCTATACAATCACCTATTTTCATAAAGCACATTGGGATTTCATATCTATATTACCTCTACTCTTTCATCAAACTTGGTTAGAAATTGGCTGTTGGGTTTAGGCACTGCTAGGGAGGAAGACAATTGAAGTGGGATTCCATAAACTTCATTTCCTTTAGGAAGCTATGCTCATAAAAACAAATTTTTTAGTGCTTGCGATGGCAAAGAAAACTTGCAAACGTGAATAGCAGGGAATGGATGCGTGCAGTAATGTCTGAACCAGTGGAGAGGCTGCAGAAGGAACTGAAGCAGTCATTTTGGCAAGCAACGCTGGCTGGTATAAACCAGGGCTGTCGGAAGGAAGGAGCTCTGCTTCTTCTGTGCCCCTGAATTAGTGTATTTTATAATAATTTAAAGTGTTGAAGGTCATATTTTTTACTTTTCTCTTTTATGGGAGTACAAATTTTGAAGCCTATTTTTTGGGGGTAGGCCACCAGCATTTCAGAAAGTGCCACGAATGGCAAGAAGGTAAATTCAGTCTTGCTGCTGAACTTAGATTTGGCCTGCCCCCTTCTGTTAGCAGGGGTTAGGGCTTCTCCTTAGTGCTCATGGAAGAGACTTGAGTATCCTTTACTGTTGTGCCTGCTTCGTTGGACCTTGTTTACAATCTTTACTTGCAGCATGAAGGTGCTCTTGAGGTCTGGCTTAAGTTTTTAATTGCTTAAATCTTTCTTGGACTGTGTTCATAGTATACATCAAAAGTGCAATGACTAGTGTAATGTCCGTGGGTTACTGCAATGTTGAAAGGGGTTTGGGGTTTGTCCAATTTCCAGGACTGGGAATAACGGGTTTTAAAACCTGCAGACTTTGAAATCTTAACCAATGTAGGGGAATTGTATTTGTCAACACTTATTACAAGCCTTCTTAATGCTTTCCTGAAATCCATGTGATTTCAGGTTTAGGCACTGTCGGATATAACTGAGGATACGAGAGTTTGTAATTTTGTCAAGAGTAAGAATTGTTTGATCCAACTCCAGCAAAAATGTCATGCGACATAATACCTCTGAAATGACTTGAGGACTTAAGAAATTACATTGCAGCATGAGGCTTGCTCTACTGAATAAAGAAACTGCTAATTAATGTGTGGGGGTTTGGCTTTTCTTTATTTTTCCTTTTTCCTGTCCTCTTCCCTAGGAATGTTTCGGAAAAATGAAGATTTGACTCCATCACAGAGGTGCTTGGCTGTAAGGTAGGCTTTCAGACATCTCTGAGAGTTTAGTTTTGGGTGTGGGGAGAAGCTGGTGTTTTGTGTGCTTTATTAATGTTCTGTGGAATTGCTACAGTTCACATTCAAGATAGAGAGTTTACAAACTCATGGAAGACAGATCCATGCTTTTTATATTTGTAGCTTAATTCATACAACTATTCTCCTGGAAAATATCACTGGAAGTAGGTTTTATACTTATTTAAGAAAAACATTATAAACTCTATGCAGTCTATGCAAATTAATGCCATATCAGACAGGAGACTAGTTAACATTTAGTACACATATAAAGTAGCTGCTGAAGCAACATGCTTGTTTAATCCTGTTTTTCAGTATTTAACTTACCTTTTCTCCTTTCTTTATTCAGGAGTCTTGAAACTAGTATGTTGTCCTGGGCAAAACCGTCTTGACTTGAGGCATTTTCCTTAATTGAAATAATTGCCAGTTAACACAAACCTTTGTTTACTGATTCAGTTATTGAGGGGAAAAAAAGAAAACATAAATAGTTGAACAAACGCTTAGGGAAACACCCTTCCTTCTCCATCCCCAGGCTCAGCCTCTGTCAAACACCTCTACTGGGCAAGGAGAGAGTCACCAGAGTTCAGGAGTTCTGTCTGAAAGTGCTCAGTACAGATTGGAAAGAATTACTATGTGTAGAATGTTTTAAGCTGTGATTACAAAAGACATGCAAACTGCTTTTCTATTTTAGTGGTTTTTACTGCAGTTAGAGTAAGCAATAATATGCAGTATGACTTTTCCTACTGTGGAAATTCTGTAGAACTACACATTCCATCTCACAAGTTGCTTGTCTTTGAATTACAGACGCATGCCAAGTCTACTGGAGTATTTAAGTTACAACTGTAATTTCATGGGTATCCTGGCAGGCCCGTTATGCTCTTACAAAGACTATATTACTTTCATTGAAGGCAGATCATACCAACTGCAACAGTCTGAAGCAAATGGGAAGGAAGATACAAAATATGAACAAACGGATCCTTCTCCAAATGTAAGATGTATGACTCTTGCAGTGCTGATGCTTACGTAATCATTGCATGAAAAGCTTGGTTTGCACTGTTCGTTTACAGGCATAACTTCTGAGCTGTATCTGGAGTTCATTCATCAACAGTATAGTTCCCTGTTCAAAAAGTTAAATACTTATTTTTTTTAAGGCAGGTTTTCTCCATGGTTTCCAGTCTGGATCTTGTGGGTAAAGGCAGATTAAATTGGAGCTTATAACAAGCTTATATGGTAAAAAGCCATCTTTAAATTAAAACAGTTCATGTATGTTTCCTTCAAAGCATATACTGTGCATAAAAAAAGTCCTGGGAAGGACGAAGTGCACATTTTGTCATTTGAAAGCTGATGAGACTTAAAAGTTCCAGCAAGGTTTCATGAACATTCTCAAATTCTACTGTTTTTAATGTCTTCTTGCAGCGAGTAGGAAACATTCATATGTAACAAGTTGAAAAACACTCATAGAAATAGTTTCATTTTTCTTGCTTTCATTCATGTACAGAGGTATTAAAGATGGACTTTGATCTCAAGGTGTAGTAAAAGATGTACTAGCCATAACACTATGGCTATTAATCCATACAACATATTTCTTTTTTCCCTTTGTTCCATTACTGGAAAAGAGATGAAATACATACAGAATAAAGTCTAGTTGATCATACCTTACAAGAGATATTGTATGGCCTGAATTAAAATCAAAAGCTCCCGAAGCTTGTTACTTTTAAAATTTAATCCAATTAGTTTAATAATATTACTGAATATTATCTTTTCCCTCTTTTCATTTTCTCTTAAATAGGAGTGTATCAGGCTTATAAGTTTGTGTGTGCCTAAGATAATTATTACCACACATAAAAAGCAGGATTATCATGGAGTCAAGTGGAACACTTCAGATAAATGGCTTTCGCTAATTCCAGTGCCAGTTACCTGTTTTCTGCTTATCTTGTGGACCACCAACTGTTGCTGGAGCAGATGAAGGCATTCCCACATGTAGCTGCTTGTCATGTCCTACCATCTGGAGGTTACCATGCCCACAGCTGGGCTAACAGGGAGTGCTTCCCAATCGGTTGTGTCATCTCCAGCCACTTCCATCCTTTGAATGTGGATGAGGACTCTTTGCACGTTCCATTCTACCCATCTTGTGTGGTTGTAGTAACTTGCACCACAGGAATGTAAACTAGTGGCTGGAGGGTGATAACATTTTAAACCTCTCCACATGTTGACAAAGTACGTAAGCTCATAGAAGTGTGCTGTGGAGCAAGTACTCGGGAAGGGAAAAAGACACAAGAGACTTCCTTGCACAGATTGGCACCTCGTGGTCTGTAGTCTGCACTGATGTGTTGTATTGACAAAGTGGCATACACTTTGTTTGTTTTTAAACATCATGTTGGTTCAGTACAGGCATCACACCTGATGTACTAAAATCCTATTTCTGCAGAAAAATAGTGTAGTAAAATTATTGCAAATAAATGGAACTAACCAAATCTGCCAGTATCAGTACTTCTGGACATGCATCTACTGATTGCCTGGTAGGACCTCCTAGCTTTTTACCACATAATCTTGCTAGCAATCTGAACAAAGTCAATAGAAATAAATGTAAGCCTATGATGGATTCTTCTTTCAGGTAAGCAGTTTTCCTTAAAATGAATTGCTCTTAAAATGCTTGAAACTTTTTGGGATTTATGCTGCATTAGCTTTTGACATAAAAATAAAGAGAGGCTGTCTATGCTGTTGATACTTCATCTCCCAACTGGTGTTAGAGAAATCTGGCTGCATTTTATAACACCAGAGAGTATTGTGTGCTTTTGGAGAAATACGGATGATACAATTTTACTGCATTTGCTGCATCAATTAAAATATTCATTGTCTTGTTCTAGAAGAATGCTTACATACCATTAGCTTCATATTAATACTTTAAATTTGTTCCTTGATTCTCATATTATTATTTCAAGAAGAATAAATTGTTAGGTAACTCAAAAAATGAAATGTAATGGGGATCAGCAAATGTTAATGTAGTAAATCGTTCAGCTGAGTTACAGTAAGTTTCATTTGTTGTTAAATGTAATTACATAACCAAAGTAGTTCACGCCAGCCTCCTCCTCTATACTGTGTGTTGACTGCATGACGTTAATTGGTTTAGTATTTTTGCTGTGTTCATTGCATGTTAGATGAATCAAGTCAACATACTAAAACTTATTTCTTATATCCCTCCTATTGTGCCTTTTTGCAAGCTATCAATTGTTGGTGTTCAAAGTGGTGTCAACTCTCAGAAATTAATATCTGTCTTTGTAAGTTTCTTTTTATTATGGCTACCCTTAAAATAAGAGATTCCTGTCAGCAGATACCTGCTTTCTTGCTTATTATGCAGACTCTTCCTACAGGTTTAAAGTTCTTGCTTAATTACCTGTAATTTTTACCTGAGGTGCTAACCTCCTCAAAATAATATGCTTTAACATAGTTCAATATTATATTGAGCTCCTTATTGATCATTTATCAACCAAGAAGAATAACAGGTTCATTGAAATAAAAGGTTAAAAGATGCTTTTCTACTTTTTGGTATATATTTTTATATATTATACATGTTTATACAATAATATATTTATAAAATTCCTGAGCTCAGTGAATGTTTTACCTTTATTGCTTCAGTTAGAAAGCTGTTCCTGAACTCCTTTCTCCGATTAAGAATCTAGCTTTCAACCTAATTGTGTTCCCATCTAATGAATGAATATTTGGTTTTGTCCTGGCACTGTCGTTTAGCTTAAGTACCTTTTTACCTTCCCAGTGTTGGCCATATTTGATATTTTTATACAGGTATGCTCAGTTTTTGTTCATCAAAGCTAAATGAGCCAAGCCTTTCTACCTTTTTGTTGTAAAATAAATTTTATGTTCTACTTCATGTGAGATGAATTATCCTGCAGCTCAAGTTCTTTTAATTCCTTAACAGAACAGTTATTTTGGGGAAGTGCAGTGCTTTAGTTATTCCACAATAACCAGGTGTTACTGTTCAACTTGATATGTTGAAAACTTTAAAGAGTGAATGAAATTAAACTTCAAACTTTTAAGTTAGTTACTTCATCCTTGTAAAACCTGACCAACCCTCCTGTGAACGTGCAATCCAGTGATTATCCATTTATGCCTTGGCAGAGAAGCTTGTATCAATAACCTAGTTAAACTAAGCAATAGGAAGTGAATTAATGTTTTACCAAATGCATTTCTATAGGTAATTGAACTATAGATTATTTTGGTGTCAGGTAAGGACTTCTTTTCTGTATAAAAGTATTCAAAACTGGAGTGCTATAAACAAGCCTCAGGCTGTAGTTTAATAATCTATTTAGGCCAACCCAAGTATAAACTCTTGCTGAATGTGGTAGGTCCTGGCTGTGGGTTCTGGGTCCTTTGCTTATTGTAGCAGTGCTGACATGCATTGCACTGCGTCATGGTCTGATTCAGATAATTTGATCCAGTCTAAAACTAATTTGTCATTAAAAAAAAAAAGGCAAACCCCTCAAAGGCTAGATTTTCACTTGATCTGCTTTTCTACTGTGACTCACTAGAAGGAAAAGAGCAAAAACTTGCAGCCAAGGTGAGGAGACAGGGCAGGACTGCTTCTTTGCGTTGCAGCCTGTTTGGATTGTCCTTCAGAAACTCTGCTGAAACCAGTCTTGAAACTGCAGCTCCCAGTCTTTGTAGAGGCAGGAGATTATCTCCATCACTGTTTGCTAAGGACACTAGTGTACCTGATACTGATCCCTGTAAGTGGTATCAGCATGCTTGATTGGGTTCTGGGATTTATAATTATTGAGTGAAGTAGTATAATTTAAAAAAAAAAAAAGTCATGCTGTTTCTGGATGTAGTTATGCTTGTCCCTACACCTAAATGTTGCTGCTAAAAAAAAATTCTAGAAATACATCATTTAAATACTTAATAAATAAATTGAAACAACTTCCTCCTACAGTATTTTTTCTACAACTACAAATTGAGTTTATTTTTTAAAAGTACAATTTATGGCAGAGCCCTGTATGAGTTAATTATTTATCTTAAGGTAAATTTTATTGAAACTCTGATCTTTTCCTTAAAAGAAGGGCTTTCACCTCCATGATTTAGTTAAAAACCTTCAAAGAGGTACTAAGCATATTTTGGGTTGAATAGGCAGATTAATGATTTCTATTTACCAATAGAAAAATTGGTAAATAGTGTTAACAGCAAAAAGCAGGCCTTTAAACAATGGTAACATTACTTATAAGTTGCCAAAACATATTTTGAGACTATATAGAGATCTTCAGATGGAAAACACCTATTTTCTATGTTCATGCTTGTATTTTAAGTTGCATGTTAATGTTACCAGCCTATAAATGCTGTTTCTCATGCTTAAATTGAACATGGCTTTAAATTATGGCTTAGACTTTGAAGTTAAATCCTTGCAACTGTCTTCAGAACTTTGGGGTGATGCCTTTTGGTATTTACAAATATCTAACTTTTGCATGTATCAGATATTGCATACCAAAATTAAAGATTCATTAGTGTTAATAATAAGTTTATGAGTTAAGCCAACTGAACTTTCCCTCTGCTCTGGCAAAGAGAGAGATGGATTAAGAGTTACTAGAAAAACAAAGGAACACTTTTAGAAAGTTAATGCCCTTTACTTTGAACTCTTGTAGTAGAGTAAAATATTAAAATGAAGCTTATTAGAAAGCAAGTAGAAACAAATAATTAAACACCAGCTTTAGCTGTTAATAGGTAGTTGCATCCTGAATTATCCAGCTGGTTTGTTTAACTAGCTGGGTTTTCTGGTCCTCTCTGAAATATCTTCTGAGATGAGCCACATGAAATATATGCTATATCCAAAGTTACCCTCACCATTTTCCAGCTTTTCCAAGTCTTATTTTTTATCAGGTTGTAGCACCTCTTACATCCGTGTGACTGGGTGAATCTTTGATACTGTGTGTCTTGCAGAAATCTGTGTTTTCAATTGGGCACTTAATGCTAGATGCTGTATCATGGAACAGAATTACTCTTTATTTTGGAACTAAATATGTGAAGCTGCACTCTAATTGAAGCAGGATGTTATCTTTAAAAGTTTGAGCAGGTATAATGGAAGCAGGATGGACAGAAAAAGGATTCTAGTTACCTTTTTGTTCTGATGCTTCAAAGAAAAATAGCTAGATTGATTGTTTTCTTGCCAAGTTTAGTGTTTGTAGAATTGTAATGTAAATTAAAACTGTAATGTTTAAATTTAAATTGAGATTACTTACAATCAAAACTTGAAAATTACATTTAAATGAACTAGCTCTCAAACTTCTCTTTTGTAGGTGCTTGGTTAGTGTGTTACTTTAGGAACTTGTACACGACATGGTTTCTGCCCTTGGGATGTGGTTCAGGCTAGCTACTTAAAGCAGTCAACATCATGCATTATTGCTCTGTTGTTTTATAATAGAACTTTAGAAATGTTTTCCTAAAAATACATACTCTTTAGTGTGGTGGTTATAGCAAAACTGAACTTTGAGAAAATCTGAGTCCAGGTCCTACCTGAACAATGTATTTTTACATGTCTGTGAGCATATTATTTGACCCCGTACAGCTTGATCACTCTAGTTGGGACAACAGGTCTATATAGAACTGAGGTATTTTGGCTGTAAATTCATAAATTATTTCACTATTTTATTTGGTTTAGAATTTAGATATTGTGATAATCTAACAGATGATTGATATATTGAGTTGGGCAGCAATTGAACACCTGTGTTATGGCAAAGATTACCAAAAATGAACTGAAGCTTTGCCATTGTTTTTGGAATCTCTGCAATAACTGTAGTCATCTTGTCCTAGATTATATACTTCGTGTTGTGATGTCTTAACAACTTACTTGCTTCAGTAATTTGACAATGAAATAAGAAAAAACTGGAGTTGCAAAAGATGTTCCCGTTATTGAAACTGTTTTTAGAGGCTCCCTGTAGTCAGATTGGATTTGCTGTGTTTGCCAGAATTGGTGCTCACAACTTAATCAAGATAATGATATTCTTTGAGCCTCTATAAAATGTTACCAACAATTTTAAAGTTGGTGTTATATATTACTGAAAAATTGACATACATATACATCTGTTTATGGAAGGAAGATTATAACTTGCCTTTGTTTCCAGAAGATTAACAAAAAATAAAGCTTACGAAGTCTCCCATCTTAAACTTTTCAGATAGCCGTGGCACAGAAACTCTTAATCTGTGGACTGTCCTTACTCTTCCACATGACTATTACAAAAACTTTGCCTGTGGAATACAATATTGATGATAACTTCAGAGCTACAGCAGCATGGCCTATAAGGTTTTTCTACCTATATGTGTCTCTTATGGCCGCCAGACCCAAGTATTATTTTGCATGGACTTTAGGTAAGTACATATATTAAAAAAATAAAAGAAAGTATATGTATTGAGTTTCATTTGAGATGCTGCACACTAAACGTATTAAAAAGTGACAGTGCCCTCTTGAGGCCTTAGGAAAACATTATTACGTTTCAGTATTTTGACGTATTGTCAAAGTACATTGAATGGTGTCTCTCTTTTTGAGAATCAAAACTTACCATAAATCTAAGCACAGTGTTGTGACAGTGTTGCAAATGAGATCATGGTCTCCTGAACAAATCAGAGTGAAACAAAGTTTTTTGGAGAGTGACAGTGTTCTAATGAGAAATGACTTTTTTGTTTTTTAAAAATTGTAGTAAATCTAGTCTGATGTACAATCCCTGATTTTTTTTTTTTTTTTTTTTTTTGATACCTTGATTTTGGCATATCTGAAAAATTATTCTAAGCCTCTTTCTGTGGTTAGTTATCAGTAATTTGCTTGATGTTATTCAAGCATGAAGGAAAAATGAATATATTGAAATTCAGATACATCATAGTGTTGTTAATAGTAGATGGTATTCGCAGTAGTATTTTCAGAATTTTATGGGTGACACTTCAGTTTTAGTCTTTGTTTACTAAAAGTTCTAATTGACCGATGGGATAACGCCCATAGTCACTGATTTAAGACACTGAATAGATGATATAGTTTAAAGAACGTTTTCCTTTTCACTTGACGTTATTTGGAAAAAAACAACACATACAACAGCAAAATGCTATATTTATGTAAGATGACATCTTGGAAGTGGCTCACAAAACAGATTTCATCAGCTTCCTCCTCCTCTCCAGTTTTACATATTTGTTTCATAATTCTTTTGAGAGAGAATCTGTGGGAAACAATGCAATAAAGAAAGCCTTAGTATAGCAGAGCAGCATGACTCATTTACAGCTGCTGGTTTCATTCCTGATCAATGAATGAAGTGCTTTCAGCTTGTCTGGGTATAGTAATTCTGGGGCTTGTTGTGGAATGAAATAATTTCGGAAATTGTGCTCTTACGCACCAGTATCATTGTCTGTAAAGAGTAGGAGTCATCTGAAAAATGAGTAATCTTTGTTGGTTTTTTTTCTCTGTAATACTTCAAATGGATTTCTCCTTATGCACTTCCTAGCAGTGTAGGGCTAGCATTCCTTTGGTAAAATACTGAAGAAAATAAACTATATCAACTCTGTACTTTTAGTTTGCTAAATAACTTTAACCTTTTTCCTTCCACTTCACCTCATCTAAACTTCTAATGGTGTGAGTAGAATGTGAGGGGGGCCTTAACAGTTTTACTGGATGTTATGCTTTTGAGTTGTATATTGCTATTCTTTGCACTTAAGAAGACAAAAATCTGTTAATAAAATGAATTAAGATGAATACTTACTGAAATGCTAGTTAATAAAATGAGTACTTACTCTAGCCATAGTCTTTGTACTCTAGCTAGCAAGAGGTTATGGAGTTCAAGTCTTCAACTGTTTCTAATTGAGCATAAAATCATTGTCTAATGTTTGAAGTCGACATCAGTGATATCAGGTGTATAGCAGCAAACTTTGTTGCTTTCAAAGATGTTTTTTAAAATTGTTATTGATGAGGAAATAAAAATATTATAAATTACCCTATATTAAATCAAATGTCACAAAGCCCTCTTCCAGACTGCTAGACAATTGGAGAAACTGAACTTCAGGAAAGGAACTGTTTGAGTCAATTGTTTCTTTTACTTTCCAAATTCACTGGATTAATACCTTGAAAAAGTTGTTAAGAACAAAGGAAAATGCGAGAGACACTAATTTCTTTTACATGTCACTATTGTATAAAGTAAATTCTTTTTAATATGGTAATGCAAACTGAGCAATTTCTCTTGCCTCCTATCTGTAATTTAAAAGCTGACAATCTAATTACAGTGCTTTAGATGAATTCTGAGCTAACAGAGAGGGCTCATGTCCTGTAACTAGAGGACTAGATCTGTATTGCTTCTGCAGAGCCTTTTGCCTACCTTGCTTCCAATTCCTCAGGACTCCTCTGAACTGGGAGAGGAGCTGGTATTCTCCCCAGGTCACTTATTTATCCACGTAGGTGAATACATGGTTGGGTTCATGCCTCATTGGATGTGTGTCCATGTTTGGGTGCATGCAACCAAGCGCCTGGCTCAACAGAGGGCAATATTTGGAAAAAACCTCGTTTCCTTGTAAGTGGCCATCCTAATCTGAGAAATACAGCTGAGGAAATTTTAGTGTCTGAGCTAACAAAGCTGAGGCAAAGGTGATGACTGAAAGTGACAGGCGGTACTCAGACTGAGATCCCTTATGTTTTCCTACATAGTCTGGATGACGGTAGCAGCTTTTTCTTCTAGGGAAAAATATTGTTTGCTCTGAACTATTTGGCCTTTGACATGCATTGTAAACTCTTAGCATTCAGAAGTGTTGTTAACAGCGGCCTTGTGCCATTAGTGGCAAACTCTGCATTGCTCAGTAAATTACTTCTATGAAGTTTGCACTGCTCCGGGTGGTGCTGTGAATGTGCACCTGCTTGAAGTGAATCGTGCAATTTTATCTTTATGCTTTAAACATCACTGTTGCTGCATAATGAAGACCAAAGACATGCATCTGAGTGTTGAGCTGCTATCTCAAATCAGTACAACCAGCCACTGTTTCGTACTCTTGATGCATCTCATTGAACTTGTTTTTCTGTCAGATTGCTCAAGCAAGTCTAAGTTGGTGGTATGAGAGAAGGGGGGACATAGTTTTTTAATTGAAAGCCGGTGTGTTGCTTGGATTATTTTCTGTTTGTTAAAGTGTCTAATACAGTGATCTTCAGTATTTAAAAAAAAAAAAAAAAGTAGCCTTTAAAATGTGATAAATACTTTGAACAAACTACGTGTTGTGTGATGCACAATTTGTAATACAGACAGTTTATAATTCACTTGTTTGTTTTTGTTTCATTGCAGCAGATGCAATTAATAATGCAGCAGGGTTTGGTTTTAGAGGCTATGATAAAAATGGAGTTACACGTTGGGATCTAATATCAAATCTGAGAATCCAGCAAATAGAGGTTTGTTCATGGCTCTTTCAAATAAAATACATGCCCATGTAGGTCATTGCTTGTAATTTCAGTAACTTTTCCTACACATTTTGTTCCTCAAGATAGTGAGTATGTTCTAAGTCAGAAATGACATGTTCACACCCTTAGGAAAGGATGGAAAATAGAGTCTGTTTTGAATATGTTCTACTATATTTGGAAGTAGTGTGGTTATATACTTTGTGGTTATAAGTAGTTGAGTGAATACCGTATTCAACACATCACAAAGTACGTTTTTTTTAAAATAATCTATATGTCAGAATTCTGAAATGTTTTGTAACATTTTACGATTACGGAAATAATTAGTTTGTTTTTACTTTACAGTTTTCCACAAGTTTCAAGATGTTTCTTGATAACTGGAATATCCAAACAGCTCTTTGGCTTAAAAGGTATTTATTTCTTAAAGGAAAGCTTTTCTCCAATGAAGTTTCTTTAGATAAATATGTCCTTGAAAATAATTTAATATTTGAAGCTAAACCCCACAAAACAATAAGGTTGTTTAGCAACTGCATGGGACATTCTTCTTGTAATACTTGAATTAAAGCCTCTGAATTTAGCACTTCTCTCTTAGTGTAAACTTTCAGGTAACGATAGAAACTGTTTTTCTTCACTGGTCATAGGGAACCTAAAAGTATTAATCTGTGGAGGTGTCTCTTTTTTTTCCCTCTTAGCATTCAAAGCCATGCATGTTGCTGAGAGCAGGAGCAAAATGCGCATCTTCGGCTGCTAGCCTGTGGAAACTCTGCTTTTTTTTTTTTTTTTTTTTTTTTTAGCCACACAGTGGTACAGGAACTTCCATACATTCTGTGAGAGAACTTTCTGCACTCCTTCTGTAATGAGTGCGTGGCAAATATCAAACCTTACAATGTGCTATCAAAAAAAATTGTAAATGAGTATCCCTCAGATGCGCTTTTTTCCTTGTCTGGGAAACAGGTATAGTGCCCAGTGAACTAAATCACTCTGCTTTTACTACTTCTTTGTGGTAACTAGAAAGTTAAAAAGTGTTCCTGAGTAGTACTCGGATGTTGTTTCCTTTCTCTGTATAGATGATCTTTTATGAATAGATGTGAGTTTAAATGAGACCTTCATCTTGGGATCATTCAGAGGACTTTATCTCTTATTCTAGGATTCTTATGCTGGCAACAGGATGTTGCTTCCATCAAATTTCTTTATAGTGTATTCTTTCTTCCACAATTTCTTCCCTAAATATTTTTCCAACCCAATTGAAAACAGAAATTGAAATTTATGTGATTATTCTAGTTGGCTCAATAGGCAATAGAATAGTCAGTAAGGAAGAATTGCATGCTTGCAGGTGTTGAAATGTATCATTTAATAAAGCAAATAAGCTATTTTAAAATGCATTTTAATTTAGTTAGAGAACAGAAGTTTATCAGTATTAAAGCTTAATAGGACAAGGTTGTGTTCCAACAAACTTTCAAAGCTCCTAAGTTGAATGATGTTAAACTAAAACTCGTTTTAGTGGAGACGAGTACCATTTCTTTTAGGAATTGAAAGAAAAAAATGCAAATCAGTTGTTCAGGGTGACATTAAAAGATGATGCGAAGAAAAATTAAAGCATCTCCTTTAATAAATATTTTTAAGAACAATTAAGTTCAATTTAAGAACAATTAATTGCTCTTAAATTTTTAAGAACAATTGTAGAAGAATCTGTGACAGTAGTCTAAATACATATTGATTCTGCCACAGTGAAAGGGAGAAGGGTGGATGTTTTCTTAAAGATTTCTTGCAAGTAAGAGATTGTTTTAATGATCATATATGAGGTATAAATATTGCTCCAGAGCATACATTATATTACCAATACTTTGGTTAGTTGCAATGTTTGAGTAGAGGACAAACTCATGTATTACTTTAAACATCCACTTTTAATACCTCACCTGTATACCACTTATGGAAGTATCTAAAATCTTAGGCATTTATCTCACATGAGATACAGAAATATCAGACGTGAGCATTCATTCTCTTCTTTTCTGATACTCTTGAAAAGGGAACCAAACTTAAACCCTGACTGTGTGTAAAAACAAACCCTTTGTAAAAACACAGTTAACTGTCTACAGATCATAAAGAAGTTTAATAGATCACAAAATACAGCAGTTCAAAGGTATTATTGTTACAAGCATGCAAGTTAAAATAGATATTTACATAGTAGCATATATCAACAATATATATCATGATAATGTTTCCTGACTGGGGAAGCTGTTATGTTCCCCCTCAGCCTATTCATTGTTTTTTCCAAAGAAAACATCTAATTCTTTTTGTATTTGGTCATGTTTCCAAAACCTCTGTGGTTCTTGTTCTCTTCTGGCTTCTTTCCAAACTTCCTGTTGTCTTACAGTGGATGTAGTACTTCTGCTAAGACCTCCCAGGTCTTTCCCTGGCTTGTTACAGGCAGAGTTGAATGCTTTTGCTTGGATTAATTACCTTTCTTTTCTTTAGATAACTCTTGCTAATACATCACAGTATTACATCTGTCTCTTTTTGCAGCAGCAATCTAGTGTTGATTCATGCTCAGCTGATACTCAGTGTTTCATACTGTTGATTCATATTCATGCTCAGCTACACTTCTTCAGTAATATTAAATGGATGGGTACTGTTTTTGTATCTTCCACTTTTCCTCTTAGGTGTTCTAGACTTTGGACTTCATCCTGTTGATTTCAGAACATCATTCAAGTCTGTCAAGATAATTTTGGATTTTAGTGCTCTATCTGTTAAGAAAACAATGCCAATCTCCTTCATTCCCTACCTCCCCTCCACACCCCACCCCTCCACACCCCCCCCAAAAAAAGGAAGAGAAGGCAGGGTGGAAAAATATACTTCTCAGTCTACCACGCAAACTAGTAATGAAAGCATAGGACCAGACCAAGGGGAGTATCTTGCTGAACAGTTGATGCATCTTCCCACTTCTTGAGCAAATCATAGATAACCTGAACCACCCACATTTGAATAGATTTTTCTCATCCTGTTGTGATGACCATATTTCCTTGGTTTGCTTTTAGGAATGTCAAGTGAAGCATTTCAACACAATTTATTATTGACAAATCCATGGAGGAGTTTTTAAGCTTACTGTTAACTCTTTGAAATTGAAGCCTGATTATTTTTTTTTTTTTTAGTATATATCTTATTGGACTTGCATTGATATAGCTGAAATTTGATTAGTTAATTTAGGTAGTTTTGTTAGCTCCTGAATGCTTTGCAGGGGGAAATCTGCTTAGTTAAAGTAGTTTAAGCCAAATAAAGATTTATCAATTTATTAACAAGACATAATTAACCACCAGTCAGTGAAATACACATTTAGAATTAATATCAGTAATAGAACAGATAACGTTTTGTAAGTGCTTAGTGTTGTGGCTTAGTAAACAAATTTCTAAACACTATTCTGTAACTAATCCCAAAGAGTTTAAAAAAGCATACATGCACACACATGGTTACATGCAAACCACGCCTCCACTCCCAAGGTCATGTGGGTTACAAAAACACATCTTCTGGAAGTGTGGGCCCCTGCTTGTATGCACTGCCTGTGGGAGATGTGGGTGCTGCAGCTCTATGTGAACCCACTGATTGACATGCCAATTAGAAAAGCATGCCACTAGTTCACGTGCATGCAGCTGATAGGGATGAGATATTGCTCCCTGTGTATTGCATGGCTGCACTGACAGTTCCCTAGCTGGATGCGGGCTACTCGGTGTCTACCAGGGAGGATGCTCTGTCTTGGCTGAGACAGGTCATGAGGCTGATGGGGCAACTTCTGGAAGCGTCAAACCAGGTTTTGACGACTAGTATTTTGCTGCAAGGTGTCTCCCTGACTTGTTACAAATTTTCCTAGTGCTTTTCTACTTTCTAGGCTGACACCTTCTTTGTTTCAAAAGTCTCTTTGAAATTCCCTGGTTACTGTTTAGTCTGGCCAATGTTGCTTTCCTCTTTAAGGTGATCTATTGGGGGCAAATGTCCTCAGATAGTTTTGTGTATTATGCATGCATGCACCTGCACCCTACTTAGGCCCATGTTTTCATCTTAATGGGCATTGTTAGTGAAGCCCTTTGGCAAGGGGAGGGGGCTCTGCTGGTATCCCGCACTGAAGACCTCATAAGATAAAACTATTTGACTGGAATAAACTAAATTAGCAAAATACATTTTTGATCTTTCCCTATTCAGATCCTGCCTTTTTACCTTCTGCTCTTTAACACTGACTTTATCACTTGGTCTTGGCAATCTTCTGTATATACGGAAGTTGTAGTAAACTAGTTACATTAGTAGTGAATGTTTTAGCCCTCTGTATCGTTAGCTTGTCTTCCTCTTTGAATAATAGACGTGCATTCTCTTCTCTCTCTCTCTGTTACTTGCTGTGTGTTTATAAAACCTTTTTACATATTGGTGTCTATGGCCTTTTTTAGTTAAAACTCATTTCTGTATGTTAGCCTTAGATTTGTGTTCATACATGCTTGTGCTGTTTATTTTTGCTTCATGTTAGTGTGCATCTGTTTCCATATTTCCTATTACTTTTTGGTTTTCAGATCATTAAAGACATTAAAGAACTTTTGATGAAGCCGTATCAGGACCTTACCATGTTTCCTATCATTCTTCCACATCATGATGGTTTGTCATTGTGTCATTCAACGTTGTCTTCTAGAAACTGCTTTTCTTGGATTCCTATTTCCCTTCTTCCTTCTAGAATTCCTTGCCTAATAATTCAGAGTCTCAATTTTTAAATAGCAGAGTTCAGCATTCTCCTTACTGGATATTCTCACATCCCTAGAGTCATTAGTGATAATTTCATCATCATGCTCACCTAATTGCCATACACAGACCCATTTTCAACTGTAGTCCCTCTATTACTCAAAATTGAAGGTAGTTGTTACTTTTTCCCTTCTCCTGTAAGCTGCTTTCATTTTATGAAAAATACATATCTGACTCATCGCAAGAGTTTGCGGGATAGTCTGTGCCTTCCAGTGTAGCTTTTCAAACACATTCTTGGATGGCTCAAGATCCCTTGTTAACACCAACACCTGTCTTTCGATACTTGTGTAGCACTTCACTATAAATAAGTACCATATGTGATGACACTGAGCGTAGATTAGCACTGAGGGGTTAAATCAGGAGCTGTGAATAGCTTTAAGTATTTTCTGTAAGTCATAATATAGTGGCAACATTATTAAATAATAGTAAACTGCAATTGCATTGCAAATGATGCAGATGAAACTGCTAAAAGTATAAGTGATAACTGGGAAGATTGTTGGTGATCTGTCTCTCATGTTACTTATCTTGAATTGTCTTTGACTTGCTAGAGTGTGCTATGAGCGAGCCACCTTCAGTCCAACGATCCAAACCTTCATCCTCTCTGCCATTTGGCATGGGGTTTACCCAGGATATTATTTAACATTTTTAACAGGAGTACTAATGACACTAGCAGCACGAGCTGTAAGTACGAACAAGTATCTTCTTAAATAATTAGTTCTGTAAAAGAAAATTGATTATGTTCTGTAGTCCAAAGATGTGATTTACATTGACACACAAGCAGTCTGTCTGATAGTTTTGTTTAATTTTTTTAGTTATGAGAGCAGTGGGAACGATTATTGATAAGGAGGGGTTGGTCAGTAGAAACAAGCAAGACTGTACACAGCCTACAACAACTTCGTAGCGTATCTTCTGTGGAAGCTCTTCCTCTGTATTAACTGTTTATGTATTATTGTGCCATGCTAAACAAGATGATGTTATCTAAGATCATTTTGAAAAAACTTTATCACTGATTATAAGTAGCTTAAAATTTGGGGGATCAGTGCTATATATTTATCGAGTCTGTCCCCCTCCCTAATTTCTGTCCATTACTATTGTAAAGATGGTAACTAAAGAATGGTGCCCCTCAACCAGCAGATAAACATCTCTTATTTCTACTAAAAATTGGCCAGCCAGCAGTGCAGTCACATTAACAAGCTTTTACAGCTGCTATTCAGAACCATATGGAACCAGCAAATCTGCCAAGTAATCTGTCCTGCTTGAGAAAGCTGAGTAAGAACAGGCTTATCACTTCAGGGGAAAGAGGAACAAAAAAACCTATAGCTGTCAGCTCAGAGCAGAATAACAGACCACTTGTCTGTCGAAAGAACGAGGAGAACGAGAAATGAAGCAGACAAAGCAGACTGCTCTTTGTTTCTACAATCACAGAATCATAGAATCATTAAGGTTGGAAAAGACCTCTAAGATCGAGTCCAACCGTCAACCCAACACTACCATACCCACTAAACCATGTCCCTAAGTGCTCCATCTACACATCTTTTAAATACTTCCAGGGATGGTGACTCCACCACTTCCTTGGGCGGCCTTTTCCAATGCCTGACCACTCTTTCAGTAAAGAATTTTTTCCTAATACCCATTCTAAACCTCTGTTGGCGCAACTTGAGGCCATTTCCTCTCGTCCTATCGCTAGTTACTTGGGAGAAGAGACCAACCCCCACCTCGCTACAACCTCCTTTCAGGTAGTTGTGGAGCGCGATGAGGTCCCCCCGAGCCTCCTTTTCTCCAGCCTAAACAGTCCCAGTTCCCTCAGCTGCTCCTCATAAGACTTGTGCTCCAGGCCCTTCACCAGCTTTGTTGCCCTTCTCTGGACACGCTCCAGCACCTCAATGTCCTTCTTGTAGTGAGGGGCCCAAAACTGAACACAGGATTCGAGGTGCGGCCTCACCAGAGCCGAGTACAGGGGTGCGATCCCTTCCCTACTCCTGCTGGCCACG